TAAGCAAACTAAGTATCACCAAATAAAGAATTGACTTGAAAAGGAATTGATTTTCTTTTTAACTGATTAATTGGCAAAATTTAAAAGGATGCAAAATGAGTAAATAATTTTTGGATTTTTAGTTTATAAAATGGATATGAATAAAATAAGCAAAGTGAGTAAACAAGTGACAGCAAATGGAAAAGCAATCCTCTAGCACAATGATTAAGGCTATCATTACTTCAATTAATTTGAGAGTTAGCTAAATTCAAAAGACTCTAAGGGCTAGCCTTTAGACTCGGTTTAATTAGAATAATCAACACCAAGCCACCTTGCATATTAATTATTCACAATTAAACTGTTTCAGCACAATTAGCTAAAAAGAAAATCAAAGAAAAGCAATTAACATTTTTAGTCCAATAACCAAGCCACCTTGAATTACCACTGAATGTTCACAATAATTTCAAAATATAGTCTGACCCAGTACAATGTAAAGAAATTAAAACTAATCAAAGCATAATGTTAAATGCTAATCAAAGATTCCAACAACTACAGCCAATCTCAATACAAATATAAATCATCACAGCTGATTCAAACATTATAAAATTCATTTTAAGACCTAGAAATCATAATTATAATGAAAGAAGTAAAGATTGGAAGAGTTGAAACTCCCTTTTAAAGCTCTAAGTTCAAGCCATAGGCATTGCTCTAGAGAATTGGAAGGATTTAGCTAAGTCCCTGCATCACTGAAGCTCCACCGTATGCTTCAATAATCACAACCATAGCAGAACAACAGTGAAGGAGCCAATGGAAGATGAAAGCTGGAGGTATCATTTCGCCGTTCAAGCTCTCTGTTCTGTTCGCTAATCTGGTTCACGTTTTCTCACTCTGTTTGCTGTCTCTCATCCAGCCCCGTTAAGATGAAGAAGATGATGACCCGAATAGTGCCTTCGCTCTCTCTCACTGTGCCTCCTTCAGCTCGTGGGTGTGTGTGTTTCTTTTTATTTTTTTCTTTTTCACCGCCGCCACCCAGCTCGCTCTCTCTGCGGGTCCCCCGTCTCTCCTCTCCGGATTGTGAAGATGATGACGACTGGTATATTATTAGTTGCGTTTTGCCCCCCTTATTATATTATATATAGTTTTTGTCTTTTTTTTTTCTTTTTCTTTTTTTTTTTTAAATTTTTAAATTTTTCAAAAACCTGCAAACAAAATTTAAAAATAAGGTAGCATTAATTATTCTCAAAAATCAATTATTCACAATTAAACCAAAATATGACAATTTTACCCCTATAAAATAATAATTCAAAATAAAATATATTAAATCCATTAACAATCAATTAAGGTCACAAGGACTAATTAAGTTGACAAAACCCATATAAAAGATATCAAAATATATAAAAATAATTGAGTTTGTCAAAGGGTCAAAAATACCTATAAACTTATATCATAAATTCACCAAACACCATATAATTTTTAATGAAAGTACCAAAATACTCAAATCTCGAAGGACTATCGCATTAGTGTATTAGAGAATATTAATTATAATAAAATTTTATAATTAAAATAACTTAAGTAGAGAAGTTTAAGCTTAAATTGAATTGCTCTTCAACGATAAGTTATTTATGTCCCTAATCTCTTTTTTAGTAGACATTATAGATATTTTTTTGAAAAATTATTTTTTAATAAATTTTTTCTTGATTAGCCTTTTTTTAATTTTTTAATGAAAACCAGTCAATTGTTGTAGTTATTATATTAATCATTATGGTTGAAAATATTTTAATAGCATAAATATTATACATAATAATTAAATATTTTTGTAACTTATCATATTTTATATTTTATCATGATTATTACTTATCCCAAAGTGTTTTAATTCCAAAAAAATTGTTAAATAAAGGTAACAGAATAAATATTTACATTTTAATTCTTTGAGTAGTATTCATTTGATATTTTCATATTTTTAATTTAATTTAAATAATTTATAATTAAATCTTGAAAAAAAATTATATAAGAATAATCTAAAGTTTGATTGAAATAAAGAATCTAAATCCATTTTGTGAGAGAGTAGGTTTTTTTCTTGGAATGGAGATGAACTAAGAAAACAATCAAGATGCTGGAGGGAGATGGTGGTTTCTTCTTTCTTTGTTTTTTTTAAACTGGGGTTATTTTCAAAAAAATACCCATAAACATTAACATAAAAGAATTTTCTTGTCTTTATTTTCAAAAGATACCCATAATGTTTACTAGAAAAATTGGGAATATAAACAGCTTTTCGTTATAAAGCAATTCAATTCGAGTTCAAAATTTTTTTATTAAAAATTATACAGTATTTGGCAAACTTTCGGTATAAGTTCATGGATATTTTTTACCCTTAGCTTTTTCAGTTTTAACTGGGGTTATTTTGGTAATTTTACTATAAAAATTGTGGGTCCCACAGCCAATTTTAATGGACTTTATTGCATTTTAAGGCAATGTTATTTTTGGACTCTTTTTAAACTTTGATTGGTAGATTTAAATCTAAAAAAAATCTATGGTGTTGGGTGAACTTTTAGCATATTTTTATGGGTATTTTTTACCCTTAGCCCTACAAAATACATAATAAATTATAATCTTTATAAATAATAACCATTATAAGGAGCTAGTTGAGAGGTTTAATTGCTTTGGTTTTAAGGGTAAAATCTCAATCCACTTTATCTCATAAATTTATAATTTTTCTGAAATAATTCTATTATATTGATTGCATATACTAGACATCAATTTCGTCAATGATGATAATTTCAATTCAAATGATTATAGCCTTTTTAAAAAAACTAACATATTTATTTGTGTAAATTAGTTCTCAAACTTTTACGTATATGATCCAAAGGGATATATGAATTGGCTTATAAAAGAAATGTCTTCATAATAAATGGGTTTGTCAAATTGTAAAGGGAACTTGGCACATTTTTATTCATCCTTTGAATTTTCATATAACATGAATTTCAATTGATCACGCCTAACTTAAGATTACAGTATCAATAAAATGTAAATACCGCTAATAAAGTCGGGAAAAAGTACTAGCTAGTCTTTGGATTAATTCCCAATTCCATTTTTCTTCTATTATATATATATATATATATATATATATATATATATATATGCGTACTTGGGTTCCTTGCCAAATCTCTCTGTCACTTTTAGACTTAGTCTGCTCTTGCTTTGACCTTAATAATTCTATTGGATAAAATTGATTAATCTTAATTCGAACTAAATAGAAAACAATGCAACAAAAACACTTCCATGTTTTTTGGTTACAAAAAAGCTTTGGACAAATGAAATTTTGAGATATATATGAAAATCTTGCCCATACACACACCCACACATATATGGAAATCAAAGCTTTGGACTAGCTATTGAGTCATTAATTTGTTCAAGTATAGATGATATTATGGTTTTCAATGGATTGTGTAATTTAATATTCATATGGAAACTATCTTTTCTTTTCTTTTTTTAATTTCGGAACTTGATGTGTGAATATTTATACTTACGTTTATTTTGATGCTCATTCTTGTGCCTTTTTTTTTTTTGCCAACAATACTGTGTCCTAAATTGTAACTTTCATTTAAAATTTGATTAACAATTAATTTGTTTGGAACACTGATAAAATTGGATATAACTTTTTTTTTTTGTGCCAGCAAATTGGATATAACAGTATGCAATACTGTAATAGATGTTCTAAAAATAATATGATTGGACCAAAATTTTCTCCACCAATCAATGTATAAGAAATCAAATGAAAATAACTTTGTTTTCGACAAAAGCATGTCTAAATTTCTAATGCTAATTTTTCTCATCATATATATTAGTATTTGCTAACTAACCTAAATTTCTAATGCTAATTTTTCTCATCATATATACTAGTACTTGCTGACTAACGCGTAATATCAGACTAATTTCATAATCATCTATAAATCAGATTGGAAACATCATCAAATTCTGAAAAGTTCTTGTGCTATTAATTAAAAAAGTTCTTTTGGCTTAAAATAAAGTATACTTATCTTGTCATTAATATAAGACCTATTTGACTAATTTGATTAGATTAAAGAAACTAGGTAACTTAGTTAATTATAAGACATGTTTTTTTTCTAAAATACTATAATCATCTTCCTTAATATTTTCCCTTCCTCTCCTCCTTGATTATGATTAAAGGAGTATAATAGAATTCAATTAGGAAAAATTAACAAATATGAGAAATAAGTTTTACATTTAAAACTAAATTGAACTCATTAATTAGGTCCTATATTAAGTATGAGAAATACATCTTATATTTAGAATTATAATGAACTTATTAATTAGGTCCTATAGATCAGATTGGAAACATCCATCATATTCTAAATAATTCTTGTGCTATTAATTAAACAATTATCATTTTTAAGCAATTATCATTTTTTGGCTTAAAAATGATAATTGTTTAATTAATAGCACAAGAATTATTTAGAATATGATGAATATAATTATCCGGTCATTAATATAAATCCTATTTGATTAATTAAAAAAATTAAGTAAGTTAGTTAATTATAAAAAATATGACATATTTTTTTAAAATATTATAATAATATTTCTTAATATATTTTCTACCTTATGATAATTGAAGGAGTATTAATAAGATACGTTTAAAAAAATTAACAAATATAATAAATAAGTTTTAAATTTAGAATTAAAATAAATTTATTAATTAAGCCCTACTTTAAATACCAACGAGTATCATTTACTGCCCTAAAGGCCTAAAAACACATGAAACAACATTTCACTCAAAGAATCTGTCAAGAAAAAAAAAAAAATTCAAAAAAAAACTATTGAATTTCAAATTTTCAAATGAGAAATTATTAAAAAAATATTTTTTACTTTTTGAGTGTAGTCATTTTCTTTACGAATATAGTAATTAATACTAATTTAAAATTTTAAAATTCAACTGTCAATTTTTTTAGATTTTTCCAAAAGAAAAACACTTTTCATTAAAAGAAACATCTGAAATACCAAAATGAAACAATATACTTATACTGCAAACTAAGGGGGAAAACAAGCACTTTCTGTTTTTTTCCTTTTTCCTGAAATAAAAAAAAAAAATCCTATGGACAACAGTGTGTGAAATCTATTTCTGAAACTTTTTGCGTTATGGCGGTTCCCTGTATCTATACACTTCCCCACCTCTGAAAATCGAATTGCCGACTCCGACACGCCGCCGTTTGAGCCACCGTCGCCGGCGACCGCACCAACCCGATATTCGTACGAGCCGATCCGGAGTGAAAAGGCAGGAGACCAATTGAGAGCTCCAGATTGGGCTCAATTTCAGCACAATGAAACGAAGAATCTCGCTCTAGCAATGGCGGTTCTTCTTCCTCTGTAGTGATGCCGCTACTAGTGTTGTTCAACTCCTCAACCGCCTTCATACTGCCGAAATCGATGCAATTGAAACTATCACTCTCCCGCTTCTGCTTCTGATTCTTCCCGAGGAAGTCGTTTTCGGCCGCCGGTGAGTTCTCGAAGTCCCACTCGGCGGTAGATTTTACAGAGGCGGTGGTTTCGTTGAGAGGACGGTGCGTTTGGGGATTGATCCCGCGGCTAATAAGCTTGCGCTTTATATGAGTATTCCAATAATTCTTAATCTCATTGTCGGTTCTACCTGGTAATCGCGCCGCAATCAGAGACCATCTATGTTCAAGCGAAACAAAGAAAAATAGATAAACTTAGATAGAGCTCCTCCCGATTCGTCGACATCCAAATAGAGACATAATACGATACAGAATTGACAACAAAACACAGAGAGAAAAATCGGTTAAGAAGTTAATAATACTTGTTTCCTAGTAGACTATGAAGCTTGATGATGAGGTCGTCTTCTTCTTGGGTGAAATTTCCACGTTTGAGATCAGGACGAAGGTAGTTCATCCATCTCAATCTGCAACTCTTTCCGCATCTGAGCAACCCTGTACCCAGCCGAATCAAAAGAGAAAGAAACAGAAAGAGAAAAATGAATCAACAGAGAAACTCAAAATCAGAATCAGAATCAAAAAGCAACGAATCAGTTCGTACCAGCGGCTTTTGGGAGAGAACGCCAAGAGCCTTCGCCATGGAGGCGAATATAATCGATAAGGTGTTGGTCTTCCTCTTTGGTCCAAGCGCCTTTGTTTGTGTGGGCTTTCTCGCAACAAGGCGAACGTCCCATAATCTCTTCTCTATGAAGAAGCTCAGGGAACGAACGAGGGATTGATTGACTGATAGGAACGAGAGAGAAAAATCAATCAGAAACAGTGAGTGGATAAGTTCGTTTCTAATTTGTTTGTTTTTGGTGTGTTGTGTCGACAACTGACCAAAGAGAGAAGGAATAACTGAGAGAGACTCTGAGGCAGGTGGAATTTGGGGAAGAAGAAGCGGAGGGATATAAGATTTTACATTTATAATTATAACACAGATCCATAAAACGGCTGATGTTAAAGGGAAGGAAGCAGTTGATAAGGATGAGCTTTGTGTGTAGTATTAAAAAAAAGGATGAGCTTTGTGTCATATCAATATTCTGAGACATTTTAGATGCATTTTATCCTCTAACTTCGTGTATAATTTTGTTTTGTTTTGTTTTTTTTGGGTAAGGGAACTTAGTTTGGTCTTTTTAGAATATTTTATTTAACGTTTAAAATTTTAATGTCAATCTTTTAGTAATATAATTAATAATATTAGGATTTTTTTTATCATCGTTAACTTCTAAAAAAAACTCATGTATTTATCATACTCAAGACTGAAGTCACATCTTATCCTTAAAAAAGTGCTTAAGATTAGAAGATTGATAAAATATTATATAAAATTAAGAAACCAACATAAAATTCTATATAAAGGTATAAAGTATACTTCTGCCTTAAATGTAAATACAATATAGCTAGTATGGCTTTTATTTTAATATCATTTAGAAAAAAGGTTTTGTGTGTCTAACAAACTCTAAGAAATGATAAACTAGCCCTCATGAGGGCATTGAAATTTGTTTTAGAACGCGTAGTGTGTTGGTGGTCGCATGATTTATAATTCACATTGATAATGTAACTTCATATATTTTCAATTACACAAAATCAATATATATAATCAATGAATAGTTATAATTCTAAAACATGCATGTTTCATTTTTTAAAGCATAATTATAAGCTAGTCTTTTTTTGTTTTATTTTCTTAATTTTATTTTGGTTTTGCAATATATTTCAATAATCAATACAGAAATTTGAAATCATTTGAATATTTAAGCTTACTTAAATGAATAAGCTTATTTACATAAAAAGCTTTTTTAAGTCTGTTTTGGAAATCGGCCATTTTAATTTTAACTTCAAATTAAACAATGAAATTTTAAAATAAATCTTTATTTGTAGTACTTCACAATTCACGTGATACATTTGAAAAAAATGTCCTTCCATCTACGTAATCCAAGGAAGTCAAAAATATTCTTATCATAATGTATGCACTGTATATTTATTTATTTTTTTTTAAAAAAAAGATGTTAATTTCAATGGAGGATAATGGAATCCGATAGTTTGAAGAGGAGACTGGAAATGGCATGAGTGGGATTTGACGAAAGTCGGTGAGAAAGAAAAGGGGTAGGTAACTTACTCGACTTGAAAGAAACTCACGTTTATCTCATTACCGTGTGTGTCCTCTTTTCCCTTTGTTTTCACCCGCCACTTGTATTCCAAGCCACGTCGCAGCTTTTCCGTCCTTTTACCTATTTTTAATAACCTATCTTTTTTTGCCAACAAAAGGAATACCATTAAACAGAAGAAAACATGTAACGAGAAGTTTGGCAAATCTGGCAGAACAAAACAAGCTATAAGTGAATGTAAAGTTAGTGAAGTAATTAGCTGAGAAATTAAGGCTCAGCTTCAACTTGTATTGAATGCAGTCGGTTCATACACTTAAGGATGGAAAACAACAGAACAGAATCTAATCTACTTAATTATTAATAAAAGGAAATCTAATCTAGATGAGATCAAATTATATTTGATGCGATTTTATTACTTAAGTAACCTAAGAATAACAATAATAGTAATAAACAACAAATTAATAAGTCTAATAGGCTTGGGTTTTGAACCATTGTTTAACACTCCCCTTCAAGCAAGATAATAGATGTTCATCATTCCCAATTTGCACGTAAAGTTTTCAAAATTTATCACAGATAAGGCTTTAGTAAGTACATCAGCAATTTGTTGACTTAATGGTGTATATATGACCTCAACCTTCTTATCTTCTATGTTTTCATTAATAAAACGGTGATCTATCTTAAGATTCTTCATCATGTCATGATGTACAAGATTCTTCACAATCTTGATAGTAGAATTCAAGTATTATCACAAAAGACTTTCATTGGACCCTTGTGATATTTATTACCTCCTTGAAGAGTTTGTCAAGCCACATGCTTTCATATATCCCTTGAACCAATGCTCTAACCTCTGCTTCAACACTATTTCTAGAAACTAAATATTTCATTTTGCTCCTCTAATTAAGTTACCAAAAAATTACCCCATACAAAGGAGCAATAACCTGAAGTAGAGCAATAACCTGAAGTAGATTGTCTATCTTCAAAGAACCTCCCAGTTAGCATTTAAATGGACTTTTATGCTTTTTTGACTATTTTGTCCAAAGAATAGGCCTTTCCTTCATGTAGCCTTTAAATACCTCAGTATTCTATTCACTACATTCATATGTTCCTTATTGGGATTACTAGATAATTGACTCAACACTCCCACTACATAGGAAATGTTTAGTCTTGTGAGAGCTAGTTAAATTAATCTGCCCACTAACCATTGATATCTATCTATATTCATGAGTAGACAATCTCTTTTTGCAGTCAACAACTTGAGATTCATTTCCATGGATTTCGCTATTAGGCAATAACCTAGCATACATATTTCTTTCAACAAATGAAGTATGTATTTCCTCTAAGACACAACTATACTCTGTTCAAATCTAGTAACTTTCATACCCAAAAAGTACTATGAAGAACCAAGATCTTTGATCTCAAATTGTAATGCTAAGAACTTCTTCAAGTTCTCTAATTCATCAATGTTATCCCTTGTAATAATGATATCATTGACATAAACTATTAGAATAGCTAGCTTTCCATCATCGTGTGAAGCAAATAGGGTATGATCAGCTTAACATTGACTATAACTCTTTTTCTTTACTATATTTGTAAACATTTCAAACCATGCACATGGAGATTGTTTAAGACCATACAATGGCTTTTTGCAATTTACAAACTCTATTCTTATTGTCACCATCTCTAAATATAGGGGGAATATTCATAAATATCTCCTCTTTTAAATCATAATGGATAAATGCGTTCTTTATATTTGGTTGATGCAAAGACCAAATAAGATTAGCTCCTAATTGGAGTAATACCTTCATAGTATTAAAATTAGCAACTAGGGCAAAGGTTTCCTAATATTCTATCCCATACTGCTGGATGTAACTGTGAACACCCCATTTTGTTTACTTCACCAATAATTTTTAAAAAAAAAGATAATATAATAAAAAGTTTATTGACCTTTAAATTAGAAAATATTATGTGGACTTATTAACAAGGAAAATAACAAAAATAAAAAAATGAAACATAAAAATCCCTTATTTAAGATGCTTGGCTCCTTAATTGGAAGTATCTTTTGGAGTCATTATTGTGGGAAAAATAAAAAAAACAAAAACAAAAATAAAAATAAAAAATCACAAATTGACTATGATTTGCTGCCAAAATAGGAAAGGTTATTATGAGTCACTATGGGGAAAAATAAAAAAAATTGAAAGACAACTACAAAAACCCTAGCTGAGACCTATAGATAGGAGAGGAATGGTTAAAAGGGGGAAAAAGATTTGGAGGATAAAGGAGGAAAGGAAGAAAGGTAGAGAGACATTCCACTATGTCATATTATCTAAAGGTTTTTTGAGGGGTTGAAGGTTGTTAAGTGCTCATCCATAGTTGCATTACTACAGGAAAAAAAAGTTATAGCATTTATTTTTTTTAATTTTGTAGTGTTTTCAAAACGCTACATATGCATCTGTTATAGACGGCATGAAGACCAAGCTATAGTGCTTTGAAAAATGCTACAACATATATATATTTTTAAATTAATAATATTCTATAGTGCTTCTTAGAGAAAGTGCTATAGAAAGATAGACAAGTGCTATAGCATGTGTACATTAGACATCACAACATGTTTATTTTTTTAAAAGAAAAACATGCAAAAAAGCGCTACAAAACATTTTTTTGGGGAAAAATATTTTTTTTAGTTTATAATATTTTAGGACTAAATTTACAAAATTTTACTTACAAATTTTAACTATCACTAGTAAAAATTCAAACATTGTAAAGACGAATGAAGATATTGGCATGTAAAATTGAGTATGTCAATGCATAGGAATGATTTATGAATAATGAAATGATTGCATGCAAAATAAAGAATGTTATAGCATGCTAATGCAAGTAAAGGGATAAATATTTTCATCATGAGCAAGGAAATTGGGATAGAGCAAAAGTAGGACAAGGGAACGAATTTGCCCGTAAAATTTTATGAGTAGCTAGGACACATCTTAATCTTTAAAATGAGGGGTAGTAATGAGTCATGTCACTTGACTACCAAATAAAACTAGGCTAACTAATGCAATATAGCAATCCTAACCTAGGTCAAACTCTTGAGGAGCCTAAAGGTGTCCTAGTAATTGAAGTGTAAATATCAAATTAACTAGGCGTAGTATGTGATGTAATTATGCAAGTAGTGATCCAATTAAGGGCTAAGGAAAGCTATCTAATCTTTTTATGATTTTTGAACTTAGTGAGTGAGTATGTATGCAATGAAGGAGTTGTCCTTGATGGCCAAATCCACCAACTATCCTAGTTCAAGTTTCAATTGAGTTTCAATCATTTATTAAGCTAGGTTTGTGAAGACACTTTCTCTAAGCAATAAATTCAATTAGCTAGAACCCTAACTCATCAAATTCATCTCAATGCTTAATATGAATTGAGTATTGCAAGAAGTATTATCCATTCTTAATTAACAATATTAGCACCTTAACCGATTAATCAAGAGATTCAAATACTTGAGTTGAAGGAATTAATATAACAAAAAAAACCAATTCAATCAATCAATCACTGTACAAAACACAATCCAAATCTCAATATCAATGCAAATCAACTGAATCACATCTTAAATAGCTACAAATCACAATCAAGAACCTTAACATTACAATCCATGCTATAGATGAGTAAAACTAGAATTAAGGTAGAAGAAACTTCCAATGCAGCTCTAGGAACTCAAGTTGGCTTCTTTGGACATCAAGGATTAATGATCTAGCCTCTCATAACTGAAATCACAGCTCCACAAAGCTTAGCAGTCTCTATGGGTATGTCAGCAATGATCAAAGGATGA